ACATCAATATTAATATTATTAACAAAATGAAAAAAAGAAATATATACGAAATATTATTTAATTTATCTTATACTTATCACTTACTGTCAGTATATTATAGATATATATACTTTTATACTTACTAGTCGTCACTATTTTCTTTGTTTGAATATTTATTTGTCTGTTTTTCCAATAGTGAATCCTTTTCCTCAACGTTCTGACTTATATCATTATTTTTGATTACATTATTATTATCGGTATTATTATCGACAAAGGTTAATTTTTTCGTTAATAGAATAGGCTCGTCAAAAATTTTTATGCTGCTACCGAGATGAATACTATCTATACTTTTTGCTATAAAAATAGATACTATTTATTAAATATTATTCCCATATTATTGAATTACAAATCTGAATTTGTTTCTGATATCTATTGCGTAATTTGTAAAAATTAATCACAATACAATCTTTATTACTACATAATTACATGAATTCCATGAATATTTTGAATCCCTGTGATTATCGTGTAAATTCGTTCTTGATGTTCTATTAATAACTGACATTTCGATGTCATAATTGGAATCATAAGATACTGAAATGTATAAGTTGTGTGCTTTTAGCGTCACTTTTGTTCTAATTACTTATCAACTAATTTACTTATTATTAATTGATAAGGCAATTAAGTCGTAAGTTTATACCTGTTCCGTCTGTAGAAATCTGTCGGGGTAAGGGCGTATCGAATCCATAAATGCTTGCAACTTCGAGATCATGATTAATGCTAGATATTGTTGTTTTCCTTTTCCTCTGATAATTGTTTAACGTCGAAGAGTACATATTCGTTTCATCTTCTTCATAATGATTCGGTGTAATGTCTGCAATTCTGAATTGTTGGTAAAATCGTTAAGAAGTATATCAGGCATATATTTTTAATTAACAAATACCTTTTTTATCGTTACTAGCAGTCAAAATCTTTTTATTATTATTATCAGTCAAAATCTTGGGATTTTCAATGACTGTCTCTAAGCAGATGGGCACGTTTATCATGTGCCATTTAACAGGTTGTAATAGCATTGCGCCTATCATCGAATGAAAACTGTAAGCGCCAAGTATCAAAATGGTTCCCTATTTAATATTATATATGTTTTTTGCATTATATATATTTTTTGTTTAATAAAATTTATAGTAATTTTTGTCTAATTTTTTTGTATAATTAGCAATTTATAAGCAGTTATAACTTTTGATAAGTTGAGAATTAAAGAATAGATTTTGCTCTAATGAAATGTTTCTTTTCTTCAATCCTTGATTTATAAATGATATCACGGCTCGGCAATGCGTAGAGAGAAGATCATATAAGTTAGTTATAGATCGCAATCAATAATAGAAAATAAACAGACATCCATTGTCTGGCCGACATAGATAAGCAGTTACTATTGGTTTTTCCGATCAGTAACATTCATGGTAAGTTTCATCGGACGAGATGCCTCTTGAGATTTAAGTATTGTTATGTAAATTATATTTTTTATTCAGTAGAGTTAATTCTTCACATTTCAATATTTTCATTTTATATAATCATTTCCTACGCATCAGGAATATTAAACTTTTACGATACCTGAACACCGTAAAATGAAAGTAAAAAGGATAATACTTGAGGCATAATAATTGGACCCAGCCCCATGATAGTTATACCCATGCCTATAGCTCGTCCTCGTTTCGTAGTAAAATAAGTATTGGTCGCCAAAGAGAATCCAGACAACGACATACCCATACCAATAGCTATATATAGACAAATTTGATAATTAATTTATAACAAGTACGTTCGTATTTAAGAAACTTGCAAAATGTGATGCGCAAAATGGATAAAATTATATTTTAATAATGATCATTTCTTGTTTAATTTATTTACATAATAATGACTATTTGTTTATAATTGTAGTAACGAAAATAATATTTTGTAATACTTAGAATTATATAAAAAATATAATATTGTCTGCCAATA